TGACACACCATCAGGCTGATGCAGAACTATCTACAGGGACCACAGAGACTTAAGAAACAACAAAAACAACTTTCTGGATCCCACCAAGACTAGCAGGATTTCTTGCCGTAAAGAGGCGTTTATTAGCAGTATCTCCCATCTTCCCAAGCTGCTAACAATATCCTCCCTGTTTCATTTCAAATGGAAAACATGGCTATGTATAAACATCCCTATTCAGTATCATTCCATCTACAAGAAAAGCGGATTTTCAGACAGAGGTAAACATAACAGTACATTCAAATCAAGCCACTTCCATTAACAGTGAATTTTTCTCACTTCACTATATATATACAGTTCACAAATCCTATGAGATTAATGAGTAAAAAGATACCTGTGAACATGTTTCTTCCTGTGATGTGCTGCTAACAAACAAAGTCATTAGGTCTAGTGTATAAGCTGGAAACTTTTCCAGGGCATGTATTACTGCAGATGCCAAATCAAAAGCTTGCCCAGATCCTGGCTCTTCAACTATTAAGAACCGTGGCCTGAAAGATGTTGGCTGGTAAGGAGGATTGCTACAACAATAAGAAGAAAACAAGTTTAAAAATGAGTGATGGTGAGGCACAAGTTTTTTCCCATACACTTTTTTTTTTGTAAATACTCTCCATGTTCCACCATATGCTGGTCTGTGATCAGGAAACCTATCAAAGCCTATTTTCTCAGTAACTGGTACCATTCCTCAGGTAAGAAGTCCTGCCAGTCCCTAGCATGTCTGCTACTCCTTTAGCTGGGTTAAGTAACAGCTCATAAATCCCGCAGGGGGACGATCCAACCAAATACAAACACAACTGGTCAGTAACCTGATACAGGGCAGAATAAGAACTCTCTCAGCACAAACCAGTCTGGGCCTCTTCACTGCCCATGCACAATCATTTTCAGCATGTTTTGACAGTAAGTAACTGTGAGATCTCTACAGCTGTCAAGTTTAGCTAAATTTTGCCATAGATTCTGGACGTGGTTGGAAGGAGCAAAACAACATTTCTAAGAAAAAAAATTGATGTTGGCACTGAAACAGGCTAGCTGTATCTGAAGAAGTACATGTTTGGATTGGTTAAATTACAGCACTACACTACATATAAAATTTATGTTCATTTTATTCATTCGTCATTGACTTGTGTATTAATTTCCTAGTAATCTAACCTTGTGAGCAAGAAACACACTTGTGAAGAGGTATTTGTGTTTTTCCACCACGATACTATTATACCTTTACTTGTGGAAGTCAAGGATCCTAGAGACCTAACCAGATTCAGCAGGTCACATTTTTTGGATAGCACAGCAATAGAAAGGGAGAAAAATAACTGACAATAATCTATTTTTTCACCTGTTGGCTTATGTGACTTTCACAATTAAAACATCAAAAGAATAACAAAAACTCAGTAGGGTAAAGGCACAAAATGCAGATGTCATTTAAATTTTTCTCACAGTGATTTAACAAACCATTTCTCAATTTTGTTTCTGATACATAATTTGCTACTGGTTCAACAATCTTGGAAGGTAGAAGGGCAAAAGATGGCTACACAAGTCCATAGGGGTTTTTTAAGCTAAAAGGACAGACTGCACATTTTGGGGGCCTAGAGTCTTTCGAGGAATACTATGCATTAAATCAACATGTTCTTATAATCTGTGGACCACTTCAACTTAGGGAAAGAGGTTTGGGCCATTCAGATCTTCACTCTTACTTCTTGCAAATAGATTACCCACACACACATCCTTAACTCCATCTAGCATCCCTCACACCAGAACAGCTTACAGATCCAGCCATCTCAAAAATGTAACCATAAAGGGGACATTTGTGCATGCTAAAGGGGACATGTACCTGCTAAAAGTGTGGAATTCTGCCTTTTTTCTACCAGAAATTTTATGAGTTGGCATCTTTCTAGAAACTGATGGTGATTCTTCATTGTCCATCACATCATTTCCTAAAATAGCATTTAAAGACAGAAGTTTATTAACTTTCCTGAATAGTTCATATCTCACTCTTGCATTAATACACCTTTGAAATCAGTGCTGGAAACCACTTCTCTTGTATTTTGTCATTTGGATGCCATTTTCTGAAGATTTCATGCTACCACAGATCAAAGGAGATTGTATAAGTCTATACAAAACTGTCCTATGTTCCATGATTTGCATCAGGTATTATCCCTCTGTTGATAAAAACTTGGGAGATTTTTTCCTTAGAATAAAGATAATCAGGAACAACTTCTGTAGTTCTTAGACACCAGAAAAACTCTTCTCCCTTCACTTAAGCATTTATTTACTACATTAGTTATTATATCAGTAAATGAGGTCAATGACATCAGATGTCATTTATCTGGATTTCTGTAAAGCTTTTGACATAATTCCACACAACCTTCTTCTCTCTATATTGGAGACAGATGGATTTAATGAGTGGACTGTTAGATGGATAAAAAAGTGGTTGGATGTTCCCATCCAGAAGGTAGTGGTCAATGGCTCAGAGTCTCGATGGACATCAGTGACAAGTGGTGTCCCTCAGGGGTCTGTACTGGGACTAGTGCTTTTTAGTATCTTCATAATTAGCATAGATGAAGGGATCAAGTGCAGCCTCAGTAAATTTGCAGATGACACCAAGCTGAGTGGTACTGTTGACACACCTGAAGGATGGGATGCCATCCAGATGGACCTGGATAAGATTTAGAAGTGAGCCCATGAGAACCTCATGAGGTTTAATAAGACCAAGTGCAAGGTGCTGCACCTGGGTTGAGGGGATCTCAGGTGTTGATACAGGCTGGGGGGATGAACTGATCATGAGCAGCCCTGCCAAGAACTTGGGGGTGCTGGTGGATGAGAGGCTGGACATCAGCCAGCAATCTGTGTTTGCAGCCCAGAAAGCCAAATGTGTTCTGGGCTGCATCAAAAGCAGTGCAGCCAGCAGGTCAAGCGAGGTGATTCTGCCCCTCTACTTTTCTCAGGTGAGACCCCACTTGGAGTACTGCGTCAAGCTCTTGGCTCCCCAGCACGGGAAGGACATTGACCTGTTGAAGCAAGTCCAGAGGAGGGCCACCAAGATGAAGTACCTCTCCTGGGAGGAAAGGCTGGGAGAATTGGGTTTGTTAAGCATGGAAAAGGCTTAAGGATGATCTAATTTTGGCTTTTCAGTACCTGAAGAGAGCCTACAAGAAAGATGAAGAGAGACTTCTCACAAGAGCGTGTAATGGCAGGACAAGGGGAATGGCTTCAAACTGAAAGGAAGTAGATTTAGATTAGATATTAGGAAAAATTCTTCACTGTAAGGGTGGAGAGGCACTGGAACAGGTTGCCCAAAATGGGTCTCATCTCTGTTAAGTGTTCAAGGCCAGGCTGAATGAAGCTCCAAGTAACCTGGTATAAAAGGTATCCCTGCCCATGGCAGAGGGGTTGGAACTAGATAATATTTAAGGTCCCTTCCAACACAGACCATTCTATGATTCTATGATTCTATGATTTGGAAAGAGGTGCCTCATACATGAAACCTTAGATCCATCTCTGAAATGGTAAATGTGATGTTAGTTATTGTCAGAAATGGGGGGGCTCCAGTGGAGAATGCATAGTTGTCTACAGCATATTTCTAGTCACTCACAGCTCCCTTCCTGCACTGTGCACATGCAAAGTATAAAATTGTACTGTCATTATGGCTGAGAGGTTTGTGTATGTGCCTTGGCAGAATTTTAAACAAGTAGATGTTATTGTTATACCTTGGTCCTTCTTCAGTGCAAGTTCTGCATGGGGAAATGCTCTCTGCAAGGCTTGTAAAGTTCTTTCCAGAGTGTTTTCTAACAGCGGCTTTGAAATAGGTGGTAGTGCTCGTACAGGTGAAGCTCCAGCTCTCTGTGAAGTTGGAACAATCTTCTGCATGGCCATGGCAAAATCCTTTGCTGTTACTTCAATGGAAGTGGCATCTATCTTCAGTCTCTTGTCACTTTCATGTATCTGAGGATAACAGCGGCGCAAAGCACAGAGGCCAGCTTCAGCACATAAGGCCTTAATATCAGCACCACAGTATCCTAGTAAACAAAACAAGAATCAAATATTATGTCTCTCTCTATATATAGGTTAAAAACTGTCTGTGTGGCCAGGCCAAGTGTGTTGGTGAATGATGCTACATCCAGTTGCCAGACAGTCACTAGTGGTGTTCCCCAAAGCTCAGTATTGAGGCCAGTACTTTTTAATATCTTTACTGATGATCTGGATGGGAGGATTGAATGCACACTCAGTAATAACATGGACAACACTGCATTGGGTGGGAGTGTTGGTCTGCTGGAGGGCAGAAAGGCTCTGCAGACAGATTTGAACAGACTGCGTCAATGGGCTGAGGCCAATTGTATGAGGTTCAATAAGGCAAAGTGCTGGGTCCTGTACTTCGGTCACAACAACCCCATGCAGCCCTACAGGCTGGGAGAAGATAGGCTGAAAAGCTGCCCAGGGGAAAAGGACCAGCACTGTTTTCAAACTCACCAACACATTTCTCAGCCAGCTCTTCAAGTAAGTTGTCTGATGGCTTCTTCCAGCCTCGTGTGTGAATTTTGAAAATCTCTTGTCTCTCCTGCTAATAAAATGGTTGCATTTTAGTTTGCCCTAAGTTTTCTCTTGAAAAAACAACCACAACACAGAACCCCCAAACCCTCAGACTAATACAAAAACTTTTCTTATCTGCTTCTCCACCTATTTTAAAGGTCAGTTATTAATGCTCTCATTGCTTCTTCAAGCAGGAAATTTAATAATTCTCAAACTGTTATATTAAACTCTTGCTGGGGGATGCAGTGAGTTAAAAGGCATGTACATCTTCCATAAAAAGTCAGTTTTCACAAGCGTGAGACCTAATAAAGAAAAAATATACTAAAAGCTCTATCTGCAAATGGAGATTTTGCATCAAAGAAAATTCTCTCAAATTTAGCAAAATTTCATGGTGATGAATTCATTAGTTCACTAAATTTGCTTTTCTGCTACTTCATTCAAGGAAAACAGTCCTAGCACTCCGTTTCAAGTTGCTAGTTACTACCAGAACAAAAAGTATGACTGAAACCACTGTCACTCATCCAGAAAATGTCAAGCATCACCTATCCTCATCTCTCATTTTAGTAAGACTTTCATTGAAGTATTTCCTGATACACCGATTAATTATGGTAGATTTCTAATATTCTTCCACAGTAGACAATTGTGTATAAGATCTGTTTCACAGCACCTCGTCTTCTGTTCCTGAGGGCAGATAAAAACTGGATACAAATGTTTGGGCTAATGCACTGCTTAGTGCACTTCTACTAGCTCTCAGTCCAATATGCCTTTTATCCTTTTTCCAAAAAGTGCTAATATCAGTGATAGCCAGAGAAAAACTGCAAAAAACAGGGTCTCCCTCCCACCCCATCCCCACCATGATATTTTTTGGTTGCTATAAAATGAATTTCTTCATTGTTTAGCTATTGACATTGAACTAGAAGCTCCCCAAGCCCTGCACCTCTGCAACGTGCTTCACATCTTAGTCCAAGCCCCTGTTAATAAGTACCAGTAAGAACGTCGGATCCAACATACTTAATTCGCTCCAGCATGAGCCTTGATCAAAGTTTTTGCTACCGAAAAGGAATTCTTGTGTGCACACCATTTCTTTCACCTTCAAGATGCTACAGCAGCACTTTAAAACTAATTCATACATTCATTCTTTCTTAAACATTTTGATGACTAGCAGCATGACGTTTTCTTTGCTGGTCACAGTGAAACCAAAACTACTTGTTGAAATCACATTATTCCTATGTATTCAGTACCAAGTGTGCCCTCCACGATGCAATGCAATCTCTCCAGACAGCCCTCTCTTGTCCAGGCTGTACTCTACTGATGGAGACTTGCACTGCTCCACGATGTTGCCTTGTTACAGGGGTGTGGAGTTTGACACATAAGCATTAGCATTGAGTCAAAGTCCTGACCTCTTCATTTGGTAAGCTGAAACGGAATTCTCGTTCAAAGCGTCCGGGTCTTCGTAAAGCAGGATCTATAGAATCCAGTCTGTTGGTGGCTCCAATAACCACAACCTCTCCTCTGCTGGCTAAGCCATCCATAAGTGTCAGAAGTGTCCCCACAACAGAGCTAACAGAAATATATAATTTTTATTCACCAGTTTAGTAAATTTTCTTAAGTTCCACATAACTTTCTCAATTGATCCCTCCAAAAGGACAACCCATTATTGATGAGATGCTGATCAGGAAAATACTTGTTTCAAGACATAACACAGAACTTGTGTTGATATAAATCTTAGCAAATTGTTTTTGCTTGTTGTCGTTTAAAAACCATCTGAAATTCAGTAGCACTAGTTTTCATGATAAATGAATGTGTCACATCAAGTTAAATCGGTTGCGGTCTTCCTTTCACAAAGATCAAGCAGCTTTTATGCAGACACAAAACATGTCCTACCTATGAACTTGGTCTTGTTTACTGGACCGTGTGGGAGCAAGAGCATCGATCTCATCAAAGAAAATAATTGAAGGTCGCATCTGGTAGGCCTGCAGTGAAAACGCAAGAATGTTGACATCAGGAAAACAACACTGTTTGAAAGAGAAAATGCATGAAAAAAATTGTGATTGGAAAGGCACTGGAACTAGATTTTTCAGACTAGCATCAGGGATCCCTACTAATTGAGCTAACTGAGTAAAGTGGCATGAGTAACAGAAGACAGCAGCCTATGTCAACCCAGGAAATGAATCATACCAGTAGTTTTTACAGCTATTTGGCAACCACCAAGAACAGATACAGGACTTAATTCAGTTACAGGTTCTGGAAGCAACCTTCCATTACCAATTTAAATGAACATGCTTTCAGCCTGCATCTTTTTCCCTCTGATCTAAAGCAACCATCTCTTGCTTCTTAAAACCTTTTCTGTGACTGTTTGGGTTGTGAATTATGGTGGGGGTTTTTTTGAGGGTGGTGATGGTAGTGATTTTCTTACTTGCTTTACTAATCTTTCCCAATATATCTCAAGATTTCAAGCCCCTAAAAACCCCACTGAAAAAGGAAACACTGACAATCCCAGTGGACCTTCAGTGGAAGGAGCTGAGAAAAACATGAAAAAGAATGAGTTCTACTCAACCACAGAAAATTAATTACAACTCGAAAGGAATATACGGCACGTTTCAACCTTACCTGCTCAAATACTAAACGAAGCTGTTGTTCAGACTCTCCTATCCATTTACTCATGCAGTCGGCAGCATTTCTCATAAAAAAGGTTACTTTCCTGTCACTTCTGCTACATTCATTAGCAAGTGCACGAGCAAGCAGTGTCTTTCCAGTCCCTGGTGGACCATAGAATAGACAGCCTCTGCAATTTGAAAAAAAAAAATTAAAAAAAAAAATCACATAAGAAAAAACCATCATGGAAAAGTACCTATTACAACCACCATTCCTAAAACACACTGCTCTCCTAAACTAAATACTTGATGGATAAGAGAGCAGTAACAGCTGAAGTGTATGAAAAAAGTCAAAAGTCAATTCCTACCAAATTCTACAAGGCAGCAAACAAAATTAATAAGAGGATAATGCAGACATACAAAACCTTGAGAAAAGACAGTAAGTAGCATTCCAGAAGGACGCTTCCAAAATTTCTGACAAACCAGCAGACGCGGTTACAGCACAGTGCAGCCAAACAAGAACAAACTTCCAACACAAAATCTGAGACTGGGCTAAGTTAGGAATCACCAGTTCATTTTTACATGATACACTGCATATTCATTCTTGTTTTCACAAAAGGCAAGATTTGAGAGTAAAGCATTTACTTCTGACTTAAAAAGCATTAGGTTACTGGATTTGGTCTCCCTTTGCTGGTGATACAGGAAGAGGAGAAGGTATTCCGTATTTCTGCATTCCCATCAACTAGAAAAGCCAGTGCACTGCTGATTCAAAAAGAATTTCAACAAATAAAGAAGCAAAACACAGATTTTCTTTTCAATGTTTTTAATACTTTTAAAGTTGCTGAAAGCAAAGAATTTAAAGTCCTATTTCAGTATACCATGACTGAATTCTGCTGACCAAGAATATATGAAGTTAACAAGTCTCTAATAACTTCATTTTGTAACACAGAACTCACTTAGCTGTGTAAGAAGTGGACATATTCTTATTTTAGCCCAAGCACAACTAACACTGCAAGGTCCTAGTTGCAAGTCCTATCAATTGTAAAACTGATACTTGAGCACTTGAAAAAAAAAGAGTTGGTGGGAGAGAGAACGGGACTTCCAAAAAACGAACTACAGTTGACTACCAGTAGATAATTCTATTCTACTTACAAACTAATCAAGTCCGCTTGTGCATAGGACTCTAAAGAAAAAATCTCCAACCCCACCTTTCAAAGGCAAGACACTTTTAAAGAATAGTCTCGTCACATAGTAAATCTCTGAACCTACATATATGCTGTATTCTATCGTTTTTTTAAAAAATTACTTTTTACTAGTGCTAAAAATCCCCATCAGCACTGCTGAAAATTTTGAGGCATGGAAACGTTGATTCTCCTGAAAATAGATCAATTCTAACTTACAATTTTACATGGTGCCTATTACCTGGGAGGGTTAAGTTTCATTTTCTCAAAGGCGTCAGCATAAAGCAACGGCAAAATGATCATCTCTTTTAAAGATGAAATGTGTTCAGAATGACCACCCACGCCATCAAATTGTACCTAAAGATGAAGCCAACAGAACACATTTTATATGTCAAAGACAGCTGCAATCTTTCCTATCAGAAATTAGATGTCAGCACCAAGGAAACGTTCATTGCAATTTTCAAATCACTTGAGAGAAAACTGTAAACCAAGGAAGTTGTAGATGGCCCGTTACTGGAAACTTTCATAAATACTGCAAAGGTCTCACCGACACAGTGAAGTAAAAATACTTACCGAACTATCTATTTGCATTCTTTCAACACCAGCCAGACTTGTTCTAATTTGATTTTCATGTGAAGTTCTGTGAACTTCATTTAAGTTGTCTTTCCGAGAGTTGACCGAAAGAGATCTAATTTGAATTAAGAAGTAAGAAAAAGGTGCTTTCTAAATTACAGTGCAGATAGAAGATTTTTTATTTTCTAATCATAGCAAGTGAATGCAAAAGACCTTATAAATGAGCATAAACTATCTATCATTCCAACTGTTTTGCAGTTAATAGCCATGAATAAAAAAAGGAAAATGGTCACTCCAGACATTAAACTAAGTGAATTATTTTTAACAACTCTTAGTACTTACAAATATTACTATTGCAATTTATAATCTTGAATTTCATTTAGCATTTTTCTTGTTTAAGGATAGTTTCGTACAGAAACATGAATTGATTCCAAAGAGAAACCAGAATCTTTATTTGAGTGATTAAAAAAAAAAAAAATCATTGAAACTTCCATACAGGCTCTCCCTCTAATTAAATTATCTTCAGTTTTAAGAAAATAATTTACATGCCTAAAGATTAAGTAGTCTAAGATTTTCAGAGGGACATTAGGGCTTCCATTCCAGAACAAATTAATTTCGGTTACTCAGTCTCAGCCACAACTCTCATCAACACCTTATCAGTGACCAGAAATGCTGCATTTTCAAATAAAATCTAATGGTTAGTAAAAAGGATGGCCTCCCCCTCAGTGTTTGTTTTCTTTATAATTTCAGACTATCAAGGCAATAATCTGTAATTATATTAATCTCTAATTATCACAGTCCAAAAACCCTTGAAAGCATTATTCAGTCATGTGACTGACAGCACTTGAGAAAGAACTAACCATACACCACCAACCTTTTAGTTCTTTTACATGAATCTCTTTGTCTGACAGGTGAAGTACAGGTGGAAAAAATTATCTTATGTTTTCCTAGATCTGTTGAAAGCAAAGAGTTTAGAACAGTGTTACAAACAAGTTTGAGAGGAAGCAGGATAGTCAAAGAGGCAAAAAACGGGATGTGTATCACCCATCTCTAAGTTCAGGGGAAGTTTCAAGGAGGGGAAGATTGGGTGGTTTGATCAAAGTGAAAAAAGGCGCACCTGATTTTTAAGGAGAACTGAAAAACACAAGAGTAAGATTATCAAGTTTCTTTAATTACTATTCTTTAGAGGATACGTAGGTAATTTTTTTAACTGAAAAACATCAATAAGGATGCCAAAAGGATGCAAAAAAAAATTGAATGTGCACAGGATGCATTCATTTAATAAAATTTACTGGCAGAATGAATGTAAGAAATGTAAAGAAAAGTTGTGTGCGTGTATTTTCACTGAAAAAAAAATCTCACTTCCATGCAAGAAATTAGGTCCCATGAGAAACTGTGCCTGTAACATACTGCATTGGGTCTAGCTGGGTGAGGTTAATTTTCCCCATAGCAGCCCTCACAGTGCTGTGGTTTTCATTGGTAGCTGGAAAGGTGTCGAGAACACACCAGCGTTTTGGCTGCTGCTGAGCAGTCCTCCCACAGCGTCAGCACTGTCTGTCCAACATTTTGGCCCTTCATCAATAGGCTGGGGGTGGGCAAGATCTTGGGAGGGGACACAGCTAGGTCAGCTGACCCAAATTAGCCAAAGGGGTATTCCAAACCATATGGCATCAGCTCAGATATAAAACCTAAGAAAAGGAAGAGGAAGGTGGGGCATTCCTTATGTACAATGTTTGTCTTGCAGAGCAACTGCTACGCATGCTGAAGCCCTGCCTCCCGGGAAATGGCCAGACATTGCCTGCTCATGGGATGTAGAAAATAAAATCTTTTTTTCCTCTTTACTTGTGCACATTTGCTTTAGTAAACTGCCTTATCTCAACCTACAAGTTCTCTTCCATCTTATTTTCTCTCCCCTTTCCAGCTGAGAAGTGGCATCCACCTTAACGACAATCCAGCACACCCACACCTACTTTCCAAAGGAGCTTGATAGCGCTCAACAGCTTTCCTCTGTCGAATGGAGCGTCGTTGACCAACACCTTCTGCTTCATGTCCTGATGAAACCACTGCACATCAACATAATGTTAAACTGTGTAAGTACTGCTGCAAATGATAATATATTCAAAACACGCTACACGAAATGCATTTCCACCTGTCCACAACCTTTTACCTTGTAAGTGTTTTGGAAAAAAACTGGATTTTTTTTTCTCTGAATACCTGTTCTGAGTTTTCTACAGTACAGCCCTAGAGCCCATGGCTTATAATGTCAGTAGCAACATAGATTTTTCTAATAGATGGAAAACAACCAGTAGTTCAGCCCATCTCAATTGTTTAAGACAAGGCTTTTGGCTAGAATATAGTCAAGAAAATTTAAAATAGAACTAGCCTACAATGATACCTGGATTGTTAGTTTTTTCTGTGTTAGTTCTTCCCATATTGAGGCTTTCCTAATTAAAGGAAACAAGAAAGATCAGTCACAGATATGCAAAAAACCTGTGGGCATATTTGGTGCTTTTACAGTAATATTACCAAGGCACTCTATATAGACAAAAGATGAAATGAAGGCATGAAAGGAGAAAATAGGAACATCATTCTGGTACCAAGATTAATAACAAGTATTACTACTCTAAAATAGGGTTTAGTAAATATGATAGTTACATCTAGCCAGATACAAAATAGAGTGTATCAATTAATACCAGGTAAATAATCCAAGAGTTTAGTAGAACCTGGGACAAAGCAATTCCTAGCAGACAAAAGAAAATCATCCTGGGATTTGGGAGAGGATATACAAAGTACTATGGACAATTCTGGTTTCATAAGAAAAACCAAAAACAAAACCCACCCAAAACAAAAACTAAACCACGAAAGAATTCAGATCTAAAAAACACAAACAAGCAAACAAACCACAAAAAAACCCCAAAAAACAAACAATCAAAAAACCCTATCAAAGAAGGTTATGAAGACGTTTAAAAACTAAAGCACCTGTGATTCAAAAGGGCAGTGGACTAAATGTAATAGAGCAAAACTAAGATAGAGGGAATATGGTTGCTGTCTATCCTTTTAACATGAGTTCCACTTGGGACAAAGGACCACTTGGGCTCACAGGCAAGACTGGCACAAGACAAAACACAGATAAATCAGGTATCAGTGAATTAAGTTTTTAGTAAGATTTGAAGTGAAAACCCAGGCCCTGAAACTGTTGTTTGTAAGCAGAGTCCACTCAAAAGTCATAAGGCAATTCAGAAAGCACAGTGGAAGACGCATTGCAGCATATCAGTAAATATCTTCTGAAGAAGATGTTTCTCCCACCCTTAGAGTGTAGTTGTGGCATGACTGTAAGAAGTTAAATTATAATTGGAGAGCAAAAATAGCTTTCCATGCTTTGGAAGAAGTTTGTTCAGCTAAATTAAAATTACAACTAAATAATTTCTCTGTGTGAAATACCCTGCTCATCTTCTCTCTGTCATCCATTTTTGGTGATGCTGCTTCTACAGTACTAAGATACAAAGTGGACAGGCAAGAGCAACAACAGGCAAGTACAAAAAAATCTCATTGAAACTAACAAACATAATCAGTGCAACATTTCAATATAGTGTGCACAAAATAAGAGTCACTGACTCTTAGCCGAGTTTTTCAACCTTACTTAAAAGTTAGGTCAAATGTTGACTTTTTTATAGCAAGAGTTAAGAACAAGTGTTTGAGCATTTAAAAACACGCACTCTTTTCAGGTTTATTTTTCCCTCTTGCTAAACACAATAAAAAAAATCTCAAGTAGTAGGAAAAAAATGAGTTCTGAAGATCATAGGAAGAAACCAGAAAGAAATTATGGAAGTTTTTCATAGCACTTGTCTGCATGATTGCATTAAGTCATTTTTAGTTCACAGGCTTCTTTAGACAACAGGTTGCTTATTCTTCTCTTAACTGGAAATAAGGTCTCATGCTGATTTTCTATGACTATATATGCTAGAAAAAGCATCTCACTGCTGTTACACTTTGCAAACATTTCAGAAAACAATGTTAATTTGGGCTTCATAAAGAGAATTAAATCATGGAGACAAAGACAAAAACACTAGGGCTGCTTCACTTTGACTGTATCCAACTTTCCCCTGTATCTTAACTTGACTAGGCGTTAGAAAATTATTTGTAAGCATGAGAGAAAGGTTAATTAAACATGAAGGCACTTCGAGGACAAGTTAAATCTACTGAAAGTCACAACATAAAGATTGGTTTTGTTCTCAAGAAGCAGCCCACACACAAAAGATGCTCCTACATGAAGATCTCTCTGCAACTGGCAACCCCAAAATGAAGATACTAGTGGCCAACTAAAGCTTTAGCTGTGCCCAAATTCTTTACAGGTGAAGCACCTGCCAAATCCACCTTTTGGCACACACTCTGACATGGAAGTCTTAAAAAGCCACAAGCACTTGTTTCAAAAAAAATCCTCATGTTCAAGAGCTTGGCTGTGAAGTGCAAAGGCTCTCACCTTACATAAATCAATACATTAATAATGATTACAGGACATACCCATGCAGGCAGAATGACAGGAAGGGATACTGTGTTACCAACTGCAGTGGAGTGTTTACAGAGATTCCACGAGGTTGCTTGGCAACACCCCCTCACCAAGGTTCCAGGCTCCATCACATCCAATCCTCGTGGGACTCTACTGTGGAGGGCACCTGCAGCCCAGCACTTCATAATCACAGAATCATGGAATGATTTGGCTTGGAACAGACCTTTAAACATCATCTGATTCCAACCCCCCTGCCATGGGCAGGGACACCTTTTACTAGCCCAGGTTGCTCAAACGCCTATTCAACCTGGCCTTAAACCCTTGTAGGGGTGGGGTATCCACAACTTCTCCAGGCAACCTGTTCCAGTGCCTCACCACCCTTACAATAAAGACCTGTTGTATACGTGGCAGCACATGGGGAAGTCTCAGCCTAACCACTGTGAATACACTTAGGTCTTGCTGCCAGAAAAAACAATACCTTTTTCTGTTGTCAAAAGAAGTAGAAAGTCCCTAGCCAATATTACGTACATAAGCTTGCTAATAAGGTTCCTTTTAGTAGCTTTGCAAGATGATGAAAAATCCTACTTTCTTAAAAGTTTGCCTAATAAAACGGATTGATTTGTAGTGGTGTAACTACTTTGTCTAAGTCTGCAACTTTGGTGGACCTCCAAATCCTATTTTCTTCATCCTTTAATCAACCTATATTACAGAAACTATAATGTGAAGCTGGCCTGATAGGATTATTTTCCAAAACACAAATGAACTGGCATTAATTCTGCCACTCGCTTTTAATTCTTCTTTAATTCAGTTTCGTATTATCTATTCCATTATTTTTCCAAGGATTTATGTGACACTGACAGGTCTATAATTTCTTGGGTCATTTCTTTTATTCTATTTAAATATTGGCATGTTACCTTTCTTTTGCACTCCTGAAATTTCCCTCATGTAGCAAGAGCTACTGAAAATCAACATTAACAGTCAAACTCTTCAACAGTGCCTTTAAACCAGTAGGATACAGGTTGTCCAACTTCCTAATTTAAAAATGTTTCATTTCCTGTTCCAAAGCAGAAAAAAACCAGCTTCAAAGTTCCTGAAGCACATATATAGCTCTTACCCCTCCAAATCAAGCCAGCAAGAACTGGGAATGCCCAAGATCCCCCAGCACTTGGAATAAGACACAGAGGGCAATGACAAGAATAATTTCTAACTGTGATCCAGAAGAGGTCACAAGCAACTACTCTTTGACCTGTAAGTTGTTAAAACACAATTGTTTCCATTTTAGCAGATGTGGAAACTAAGATGTGGAGAACCCCATTGCTGGGGTTTTTTTGTTTCTTCTGTACAATTGCTGGGTTTTGCCTCAGAGTGAATTTTTTTTTTTTTTTGGTAAAGCAGTTCAGCACATATGGACTTAGCATGACATATAACTACACGTAATTTTCAAAATAAGACTGATTATCATTTGATATTTACATTGTCTTTTTAAGGAGATAACAAAAAAACCCCAGGTGATGCAGACATAATAACAAATATTGTGTTAGAAACCTATAAAAACAGCTAAGGAGATTACATGTCGAAATGGGCCAGTATAGTATTGAAAAAAATTATCCACATTCTATCTCTATTTAGCAAATATATACATATTCTATCTTTATTTGTTTTAAGGTTGAACTTCTGAAGCATGCAATAGTCTAACACTAAAACAGTCACACTTCCATGTAGCATTTTCTTAGACATATTCAAGTAGGAAAGCAAGGGAGATCAACTAGTGTCACTGAAAGAAGCCATAATATTAAAATATTTAATTGCTCTTGGCCAGAGTAGCTAATACAAGTTATAAATTTGAATTTTGTTCCTTTATGCTTACTGCTCAGAAATATAGAATGATCCAGCAACAATAAGAAATCTTTATATATTTAATAGTGTATTTGCTTCTTTGTGATTTAGCATTCTAAAACACTCAGGCAAAAGAAAGGCTGCATTAAGAGAACATCAGTGACTGATATTCAGGAGATCAGCAATACCATGTCTGTGATTGTTTTTATAATGCTAATTCAGCCCAGCTGTGTAAGTCCCTTTCCAAACAGTGGGTCATTTAGTAAGATCTGGGAATAAGTCAACAATTTGTGTTGAAGAAGATGCTAAATGTGAGCTAACCAATCCCTCATTCACTGTAGAAGAGGAATTTGATTTAGTGAATGAGGTAGCATTTGCAGAATGGTTGCTAGATTTAGGAATTTGAGTATTGCCTGGAAGAATTAAAACTTCTTTTTCTCTATAAATTCCAGGGCCATACTGGAATAATTTAAACCATAATTTTTAAAAATTGTCATTAATTCTATTTTCCTTATTTTCTATATCAAATTTTAAATCCTCCCAGCTTGATTTGTGGAATTTTAAAATCTCATAGCTTTAATTTAACATTTAATAGACTGTAGGTCTTAAAGGAATTGCAGCTGCCAGCCAGTTAGTCAGAAGTAGGATACCCGCTGTTCCACTAAACCAAAGTGACTGTGATAATTTGTCCTTCTTTCCTTTTTTATTATCCTTGGACCTTAATTCCAGGGGACTATAGGAAATCTGAACTTAATAATTACTGTGAAAAATCAGGTCTAAGGTACCCCATCTTAGGCAACCCAAGTTAGTGAGCAATTCTGGCCATACTTCCTTTATTCCATCCAAAAGATGGAAAGAATGGAAACTGAAATCTGTATATGGTGTGTGAACAGCCATATAAGATGTATGTTCACTGATTCCCTGGCTCTTTGCCCTGCTTCCTAAGATAAAGAAACATCCATAGTTGAACCTGGATCTCCACCAATGGTTCTCTATTCAGGTGTTTGACATGAATTGAAGGATTTCAGGGAACAACACAAAATGCACTTGTTGTGCAACCTACACATCAGCTTAACTCACTTTCTGCAAGCAAAGATGATACTACTGTCTCAGCTCATGAGGGAAAAGACAAATTAGTAGTTGTTTGTGAGGTGGTCAGGTGCTGCCATGAGTAGCACCATAAAAAAGTCTGTAAGAAGTTAACAATGTTTGTCAAGAGCAGCATCTGAGCAGATAGCGATAAGCAAGGTGCAAGGTCACATATTTAAATGGGAGGAAATTAATAGTGAATTATCTGGGCACCATCCATTCTATCCAATAAGTGAGGTAAGGGTATATAAAAGAATAGTTTATGATCTGATAATGCAGGGCCATCAAAAGATGCCTTCACAAAGGGGCTTAAGCTTGCATGGACATTTTTAATTCTGGCCTGTTCTAAACGTTCTCATTTTTGCTGATCCTTTGGCAAGAACCATGTACATGCCTGTTTATGTGCCACCTCCTAGATTTTTGTTAAAAGAAAAACTATCTACTTCACATTACAGATAGATGCAATTTATTTCATATTACATTTCAATGGGACTTTTGAGTTCCCTAATTCCTTGAAACTGCTAAAGGTCTACATTCAAAGTTTGTATCATTAATAGATACGTGCTCCAATTACCCAAACATATCCTGATAAATATGATCACTAGGTACCCAACTTATTATGGAATTAAAGTGTAGATACACTGACAATAATTACATAGAAATAACACATCCAGTTGAGCAACTTCCTCCTTATGGTTGCTTTTCCTAACCATCTAGTCTACAACACAATAGTATTATCACATATACTTTTTTCCCTTATGACTTCCAGGTTTTATTTACATATTAAAATATGGGTTTAAATAAATTACTTGATCAAGCTCAGTTGAAAATCTGTGGCACTGCCACGCCTGCATTTACAAATCACTGATGGGTGCTTTGGTCACAGTAAAATCCTTCCTTCCTTTTACAGTTCAGTTCTTAAAATATTGCTCCTATAAAATGTCAGTGAGTCTCATTATTTTTAAAATTTAAATAGCAAGAGAAATGTTTTTCCAATAGCACTATTGAGTGAAATTAAACATTGATTCCTGCCTTGCTTTCAGCAGCAGGATCCAGTCTCCAGCTCAGCTGTATTCACTGCTCTCTCAATTGTAAGGACTTTTCTTCCTACAGCATTTTAAAAGGTACAAATTTCATTCTGTGTACACCATCACCTATAAGAAAAGCCACTTTTTCATGTACTTGTTTGCATCTGGGGACTCATTCCAATGCAAAGTCAAATCCTCTTAAACCTTCAGTTGGTTCCTAGCTTTATTGATGGGTACCCTGTACTTAGGGTAGCTACAAATAAAGATTTTATCGATCATTCTGACCTCTAAAATTTTGATATATCAGTGAATCGAATATTCTAGCATGAATTTTTTCATTCTACTGTGTTATAAAACTGTTTCACCAATACACCATCCAGCAGACCAGAGTATCATGGTGTTAGAGAGATGTCAGTCTGGGGCCATCTGCTGGTTGTGTCGCGGAGCTTTCATCGACAGATTTGAAAAAACACTTTACATATATAATTCTTTCGTAATTATAAAAGACCAACATATATTAATAAATTAATCGCTTAAGTATGTGATGTTTCCTGTGTACTTGTTATTTGTTTTTAATTTTAAATATTCAGTGAACTTAATATGGACCAATTATCAAAAGAAAAAATAATTAATTTGTCTTGCTTTCATAAACATAATAAAAATGGAGGCAGGGAGGCCTAAAAAAGCTCTTACTTCACAATAACACCAAAAAGAAAGCAAGGAATAAAGTAATGTTAATGCTAGTATGTAAACAATTTAGTAAAGTAATCCACATATCTTTAGTTTTATTGCTGTGATAAAGAATATAAATAATTCTTACTGCCTTACTTGATGCTTTGTAAGATTTCACCTTGAATTTTTATGTTCTGGGCTAAAAGAGGTAAGATGCACCATGTGCTGTTTTCTTGGGATAAAAAAGGTCTCAGTCAGTTTTATGATGTTCTTCAAAGGTTTTTATTGAAAATAAATTCAGGGAAAAAAAGCAGATGAACAGAAGTGTAAAGGCTTTAAAACCAGAAGTTCTAACAAATGAGCTTCTTCAAACTAAGAATAATCCAGACAATTTAGTTCAGATTCTAAAAGTATATTTATATGATGCTGCTAAGTATGTATTTACTCATTTATTGTATTATAATATTGATAATTATGTATGCTGTAATTGAGTCATTTTTATTATTGCAAGACTATGTGCAACTTTTAAGTGTGTTTTCAGGAGCAAGAGAGAGCATTTTACAGATTTTACAAGTTTAAGAGAGATCCTTTGCACCTATTATGTATATACACAGACACACACGAATATCTACGTATTAACTTACTATGCTAATGCCCATACATATATATATGTGCATGTATATATATATATATGCATGTATATATATATAAATGCATGTATGCATATATGAATGCGATGTATGTATATTCATCTATGTATGTATATATCTATACATGCATGAACACCTGTTTTTCACACCTAACATCTAACTTGTACTGTTTACACTCTCAGTTAAACAAAATCCTGTGTTGGCTCTTAGTTGTGCCAGGATTCAACATCTGCCATTATTCACATTTGCCCTCAGCAGATCCATCAGCAGGAGAGACTTCTAACAGCAGCTGTAAGTGACAAGTAATTTTATCAAGAAATGCAAAATGCAATTTAAAATGTATAAAAGGCAGATAAACAATAAGACTTCCCAGCATAAACAAGAAAGCGTAAATATATTGCAGATTGGGAGACCAGACTATGGGAGCTGAAACTAGGAAGAAAGACACTGCCACCATCACAAATGGAACTGGCAGAAACACCTGCAAGAAAAGGAAAAAAATGGTTTAGGAAATAAACCACAGACCAACTGTGATTTTAAACCTCATTCATAAGAGTAACAACTCTTTCTTTGCCACAATAGAGTACCATTTCTCACACTGCTATAAACTCACTCAGGACAAGAATCATCTGACCTCAAATTGCCTACAAGATAGGCATCCTTTCTAAAAAATTTGTTTAAGCTCCTTCTATCACAAGGGGTAGCGATAGGCAGTACCTGAAATGCATTTATTGACATATGATATTACAGGTTCCTAAAAGACACTCAGGGCTAATTCTGGTGCCTAGAAGAAGCCTTCACAATGAGTATACACTTCTAACCCACCTTTCCAACTACTAGATTAAGAGGAAATTCAACCTATCCATAATGTCTATGGTTGTGTCAGGAAAGATGAGAGTAGATCAAGGTTTAATTAACTGTGAACGGTCAGCCAGGGTCCTACACTGTTCATGGTACTGCTCCACATTGGTACATATCTGGTGCACATCTCCCCCATTCTGCATATAACCACCTCCTGTTTTCAAGTGCAAGTTCTCCAGGGCACAGACCATCTGTTTCACTTCCTTCTACCCTGAAGCAAGGTTTTTGAATAAGGCTCTAAGCACCGAGATTATTATTTGTATTTTCGTAACTATCCACTTTTGACTTGCAGTTGTTCTGAAACTTTTACACACTACTCAAAACAAATCTGTAAAAATATTTTGCAATTTAGGTCCATTTACTTTGTATGGTCGATGTAGATGAGGTTCCCGGTATCGAAGTACAATCAGGCTTGCACAAGTCAGTCCAATCATAAGCCAGGCAGAAAATCCAAAGTAATTTGTTAACATAATAAGGTCAGAGGGGATGATAAAAATGGATGCAATGGTGGTTGAAAAAATCATGGCTGGTGCTGGAGTACAGGAGTGGACATTAAGCATGGATATTAAAACAGGTAAATGTCCTGACTGACTTCCAGCATAGCTTAATCGACCTAGTGTGAACATGCTGCTGTTGAGGGCACCAAATATTGAGACAGCAACACAGAGAGGAATGATCCAGGCCACAGAGGGGATAACTCGATCAGCCCAAGTGACTGCCACAGCAACTGCAAGAAAGTAAAGCATTAGTGTAGTACAGGTACCATGTTCTGAATTGCTGACAGACTCAACAGAAACAAAATTTAAAAGGCAAGAAACACCTGTATTTACCAGCAATTCCTGTATTTTTTTATTACAGTAGTCAAACAGTAATCTAATCCTAAGGGTATTACATTCATGAGCTAAAGATTTCCTGGGAGAATGACAGCTAGGAGTGCTACCTGCCAGAGCAAGTCAGGTGAACCTGCTGGGGCAAATACCACAGTAATGGACTGCCCAGCAGGAGAGAGCTGCCTTTCATAGCTGTGCATCACAAACACACACACATGGTCAAGGAAAGTAAATGAACACCTTAGGCCCCAGCATGCCCATGGTGGTCACACAGTCTGCTGTTACAGCAAAACTGCCAACAGGAGCACAGGTACATTCAGAGATGGGTCGGCGAATGTGCTGTTAATGAGATTTTGCTTTGGGCAGAACTGAGAAATGTGAAAGATTATTTCTGAACAAGAGATATTGAATACTGCTTGGAAATTAACTACAGCCCATATTGTAGCGAGGACTAATATGTAGTGTGTCTACAACCAAATGCCATGAGGAACATAGATCGTGCAGTGACCTGCGCAGCATAGGAAATTATTAGAGATGGGGAAAACCCCCACCACACCCTGCCTCCCCCCAAAAAATGTAATGAAAGAACAAAAGCCACAGCAGCACATAGCAATGTTTGAAAAAGAGCTATCGTTTGAAGGCCATCTCCTCAACTGGCATAGATAAACACAACTTCCTGGTATGTATGGAGCTGGTTATGCCAGCTGGGCAGCTGCTATTCACGGATGGTCTGATATTTGCTGCTTCGTTCATTGTAGGATGGATCTGCAAACGTGTCCATCTGTCCCAGCAGATAACCTGACAATGGCTGAGTGATAATACAAGGTTGCTGAATGACAGCTACACTGCTTCCATTTATGTTAGTGAGCTGTTTTCGCAAGAAAAAAATAATTGATCCATCCAAATGAGGTATGGTTTTTGTCACACCTGTATGCAAGGTCTGACAGCTTAATCTCATTACAGAGGGATGTAAAAGGTGCTGTTTGGACAACCAAGATGAAATACAGCTCCCCTTGGACCTTTTAATAGGCGGTTTATTGGTACAGGATCTGAGAAATGCTTTACGTACACTAGACTTTCGTATAGGTCTTCTGAGGAATCACAATATTTATCATGACTAACCCACAAACACCCACCCAAAATGGCTACATTTTTGTGTCCATAGTCTTTTCCATATTACTGAACATGTTAGACTTGTCCACCTCCTAAACAGTAATGGCTCTGACCTGAGACACTATGAGATAGGGAAAGAAGGAGGAGAGAGGATTAAAACTACAGGAAAAACTAAGGTTGTTGCTATACTCAGGACCTAACTTTCAGCTGATTTTTCAGGTTTTAATACACTTCTGATTTAATTTTTGGCCAGTGCAGATATAAACCAACATTTTCAACATTTAATAACATCTGTCTGCATTCAGTCGAACTTGTGTCATACAGTGAAATTAAAGAATTCTCTGTTAAAAGAGAATGAACCCAAACTTCTGGACTGTGAAGTTAGGTAAGAAGAAGTAACCCAGTACATTGACATCAGATGGGTATGCTAATGAACCACGTCTTTTTAATTAAAAAAACATTAAATCCATACCTGAGGAAACAATTTCCTTAGGTGTGAGGACAGTCAGATATGAGATGTTCACCAGTAAATAAAAAACAATTACTGCAGGAACCGCAGTCATCACAGTTAATGGGATATTTCTGCTGGGGTTTTTCATCTCTTCTGAAAAATACAGTTTAAAAAGACAAATAAAGCAAGCAGTGCAGCTTCAGCAAGTGAATTTCAGTGGTGAATCTGTGCAGAGCTTGACAAGACTGACACCAAGGTCCTACCCCAATCCCTGATCATGGCTGCTAAATTACACTGTTTGTGAAGTCCTATAGTTGTTCTCAAATAGGCTACTATCAAAGATTCTTAAACAATTTATTTTTATTTAGCTATTTATTAACTATTTTTGAAGGAGTGCTGGATGAACAGATGATAAAAAAGATTACAGAAGGATTGATAATTTCTCTTTGATTTAATTAATCACATATTTGACTTACATTAGAAAATTGATTTGGTAAGAAATTTTCAAGTAGTTTTACTTGTAAATCACTACCTTAAACATGAGACTCTAAAGCCAGATTATTTATTCTGACATCACCTCATGAGTCCTGATCTTAAACTTCGTAATTGCCTATTCCTACTCAAAACCTTTTTCTTTGCTCTTATATCAGGAAATACAGAAAAAGTAGAAAAAAAGACTAGATGGTATAGACAGAAGAGCAATAATGCAGTGGCTTTAAAAGAGGGCCATTCCCAGCTGGATACCGATGATTATTACCTTTTTCAGGGCAAAGTTGCTGGAGAAAAACTGTTTAGTCCTAAACCTGATAGCTTAGAACTATATTTATCAAATAAGAAAAAAATTCCAGATTTTGCCAGGGAATAATTCAGGCATTGGCACACATTCCTGAGCACATGATATTCCCAACAAAAGATGGAGCTGGTTTCCAGAAGCCTAATAATTCATCCTCATCTCAGTCAAAAAGGGTCTTTTTCACTCACTCCCTCTCCTCACTTGCCTCAGCACTTACAGAAGATCTCCTGAGTATTACCACCCAATAACTCACAAGAAGGAAGAAGTGAAAAGCCAAACATGCAGCTTACTTAAGCTCTTTTTAGGAGGTTGAAATCTCTTTCCTCTTTAATATACGATTCCTATCTTCTGCCCAGAACATCAGCCTTGAGCCTGTCCCAGCGCTGTCTGTAGCACACAGAGCCGGGACCAAAGGAGCACAACAGCAGAATTCAAATACTGACTATCAGAGAATTTTGGATTTATTTCAGATGTAAGAAATACACTCGGTAATTTTGAGCCCAGAAATGGACAATCACCTAAATTGCCAATTTAAATTTATCTTTTCATTTGTTTCTTTGGTCATTGCAGTCCTGCCATCCAGCTGGCACCTGATGCTTTAGCTGAAGCTCACAGAAATGAAGTTATTGTTGAAGAATAGGAAACTCAGTTCAATTCAGAACTATTGCATAGGTTGCATCTGTCTAAACAGCTGTGCTGCCCAGTGTATGGTATTTATTAGTACTGCTAACTGACCAAAAAATAAATTAATATTTTACCAATAGTCTTGTATTTTCTGAGGGTCACAAAGCCAAGTGCTTGTCTTTAAGGAATCCTTAAGATTTCAAAACTATACTTTCCTGATTTATGTCACCTTTTTTTTTAATTGAAACACATTTTTAATGCTGGAATAACCGGATTGTAATGATAACAGTCAGGTTTTTAAACATTAACCAAATTTCACATTGTTCTCACCATTGAACTTTGAGTTATGCATTTAACACATGCAGTTTAATTAATATTTTACATGATAGAGGTTAATGGATACATACAATTAAAGATATAAGAGCAATATCAACCTGCTTCCAACATAATTCCATAAATCTGATCATATCATAAAACTCTATTAATTTAATTTGTGACATGAATAACTAACATTAGGAACATCATCTCTGTACGTTTCATGAAAAACTGCTCTATTTCTTATTGCCACATCATCAGATATAGAATAGGGTGAGTAAACAGGTATTCAAAAATGTTTTAAGTGTTTGAAATTGAGTACAAGGTCTATGAAAGTATTTATACCACTTTCCTTAGATCTCTCTTCACCTTCTGTGCAAAACTCTATTTTCCCAAGAAAATATATCCCATAAAATTGCTAAATTTTAACAAAATTCAAAATTAATTTGTCGATGTACAAAACAACTGCATAACCTCAGAGAAGGTACAGATATTTAAATAGAAATTATCTATGTGCACATAGTTTGGCATGGATAACCTAATCCTTTCCTAAAAATACACTGGCACGGAAACAGAGAAAGACAAAATGCAAATTTTTTAGGTATGAAAAATTCTGTTTATGCATAAGATTTTAAATTAACTATTTTGATTTCTCTTGTACCCCATTGGAAATGTCAGTTTGATTTTCGAGACTGGACAAAAAGCAGGAAACTTCCCTAGAGAGGAACACTGCCTCTTCTACCAGCCCCAACAAACACAGGACTCGCATAAAACATGAGAGACCCTGTGGTCTTGAAGGAGAGACAAGTTCTACCAACACAAGTTGAGGAACACAAGAATGACAACTGCAGAACAAAATCTAAAGAAGAGGAGTAAGATACCTGCCATATAATTGAGGGACCACCAGCCTCCATATGCGTACAGTCCTTGGAAGAAGGCTTCAGCAACCTGTGAAGCGTTGGGGATCTCTGAGCTGAACAAGTCCTCAAATCTGGCCAGACTCTCCTTTTGCCTTGTAATGAGGAGAACAATGCCGCCGACAGCAATTACAGACAAGGCCATCATCTTCAGCAGAGTGAAAACTGTCTGCACCCATGCAGCCATTTTGACACTGCAGCCATTCAAAATCCCCAGGGACCAGAGAACAGCCAAGGCCAAGCATTTTTTCAGCACTTCTGGTGGAGGGCAAATGCCATAGAAGGGCTGGGTGGCGTATTCAGCAAACAGCAAGGCTCGAGCAGCATTTGATGCTGGTTTGGTAAATGTTGACGTCCAGATAAACACAAAGGCAGGGAGGGATCCAAGGCCTCTTTTAATATGGCTATATTCTCCTCCAGAGAAGGGCAGAGAGGTTCCAAGTTCTGCATAGCAGAGGGAACCCATCAGAGAAACCAGCCCAGATGCAGTCCAGATTATTAGTGCGATGCCAACATTGAGTAAGGAATGCTTTAACACCCCTGTGGGAGACACAAAGATACCTGCCCCAACAATTGTTCCTATAATAAAACTTACCCCATCAAAATAACCTATATTTCTTTTGAGTTGAATCTTCGCTTTTTCTTTTCTTTGCATATCTTCGGAATCATCGCTTTCTCCTTTTCCCATTTTTTTTCTGTTTTTTCAAAGCAGAATTCACTTTGTTGTTAGCAGTCTGTCATGGCCCTACCCGCTAGTGAAATGTTATGAGAAGCTTGGCTTAATCATTCAGAAAAGAGAGCATACTCTGGGTTTTGATGTCTTCTGTGTGAAGATGATTAACCAAATACTTCAAGAATCACTGGCAAATCATGTACATGTTGGTTTAATATGTACTTCAGAAATTATTGAGGTCTGCAAGTATTTTTAAAGAACACAGCATAACAAATAATGCACAGCAAATGCTCATTTCTCAGCTGATTTTCATCAACAGATTTCCATTTCTTTTTTGTATGTCTTCAGAGACAACAGTGAGAGGTGGGTAAATGTGACTTCTACATCAGACCTAGGGAAAGAGATAGGATATGACAGCATGAAGAAAGAAGTCATCCCTCCTTATGTCATTGACTGTGACGTGGACATTAGTTGAACAGCCTGGCACTATTTTTCCACTGTCCATACATAAAATTGACAGTGATAACCAGTGATCACCAGTATATTTTGCCAAAACTTCATCAGTCACTGAATATACAGGAGCTTGTTTATACTTCACTCATTAAACAGTGCACTAGAAAGAAAATTACCAGTTTATTCCTAGCTTTTTCTTGAGTGCTCACCATTAATATAGCACCCAAACATGTCCTAAGAAGATATTAATCTTCGGACACTACTGTGAGGGGAAGAGTCAGTGTTATCATTTTCACTGTCTGCATAGGGCTATTGAACAGAAAGATAAAGGAGTCATTATTCCCACCAGTTTGGCCTGTGTCTTTTAAGGTGCAGCCACTGATTTTTTTTTTTTACATATTTAACAATCTGTGGTGTATTTTGTGTTCAAAATACAGAAAAGGAGCTTCTCTTTAATCAGATGTGGATATGCCATAAAACCATGACTTTTGTACAAGAGAAAACGTATTTATTCTTTTTAAAATATGTAGAGTAAAATAGGCAGAAAGGGAGACTAACTAAAAGAAGTTCATCATGGACCTTAGGGGTTTTCTAAGTTCCCAAACTAGTAGCAGAAAAGTTCTTACTTTTTGTCACTCAACTTGCGGAACCGGTTTTGTCCCAGAAGTCAAAGCTCAGTAATGCAATGAACTGAACTCATGCTTTCACAGAGCCCAACTGTGAAAGACACAGTGGTTCAGATCAGTACTGAAACATAGGATTTTCACTCAAGTACAAAATAAATTCATCTGAAAAGTTAGGTTTATATAATATGCCATCATGTAAAAGACCTTTAGCTAAAACAGGCATGTGCATAAGACTGTAATCTTTTAACTTTTTCAATGACTTGGCTAAAGTGAATTTCCTTCACCACACAAAAGCTATGCAGCACGGTCAGTGAAAGAATCCACAGCTCCAGAGCAGCTTTTAACCATAAGACAATTCTTCCATCTTCTCCAAATCACTATGGCACTTTCATCTTCAAAATAACAAGACTACAGACTTCTGTAAAAATGTTTTTGCAGGTGCTGGGGTCCATCAGTGCTGGTCGCTTTTCAATCACCTCCTAAGGGCACAGGAGCAGGCAATTCCAAAATGTCAGAAGTCAAGCAGACAAGGTAGAAGGCTGGCTTGGCTGAGCAGGGATATTCTTTTGGAGGTAAGGCAAAAAGGAAGGTGTATGCCAAAATGGAAGCAAGGGTAGGAGACATGGGAGGAATAGAGAGATGCTGTTCATTGCTGTAGGCAGAAAATTCGTGTAGCCAAAGCTCAACTAGATTTGAAGCTGAACAGTACTGTGGGGGACAATAGAAAGAGTTCTTTTAATTATATTAATGGCAAAAGAAAGTGCAGAAATGACATTGGGCTATTATAGGATGAGTATGGTCACCTCACAAACAGGGACATAGACAAGGCAGATGTTTTATGCTTTCTTTGGCTCTGTCTTCACACGGATGACAGGCTAAAATAGCCTGAGCTGCAGGACCATGCTGTGAGAATTATAAACTCCCAGTTGACCCTGAACTTGTGTGGAATCTGCTGCTCCAGCTGGATCCCTATAAGTCTATGGGGCCTCATGGGACTCATAAGAGAATACTCCAAGAGTTGGCTGAAGTCATCCTTAAGGCCTCTCTCGACGATTTTTGAACAGTCTTGGGAATCTGGAGAGGTCCCAATTGACTGGAAGCTGGCAAACATTGTCCCAGTTTTCAAGATGGGCAAGAAGGATGACCTGGAAAACTACAGACCCGTCAGTCTCACTTCAGTGACTGGAGAAGATTATCCCAGGAGGTATTGAAAAACACCTGAAGGACAGTGCAGTCATTGGTCACAGCCAGCACAGGTTCATGAAGGGAAAGTCCTGCTTATCAAACCTAATTTCCTTTTATGACAAGGTAACCCACCCAACTGATCAAGGGAAGCCAGCTGACATAATGTTTTTGGATTTCAGTAAAGCTTTCAATACTTTCTCTCACAGGATCCTTCTGGACAAAATGGATGGATAAACACATCATGTGATGGGTAAGCAACTGGCTTATGAGTAGGGCACAAAGGGTAATAGTGAAGTGGGTCATCAGGCTGACACCAGTGACCAGTGGGGTTCTGCTCTTCAACATCTTCATAAATGACTTGGATGCAGGACTCGAAGTGATACTAAGCAAGTTTGCGGATGATACTAATTTGGGAGGAGCTGTTGACTCCCTCAAAGGTAGGGAGGCCCTGCAGAGAGACCTTGACAAATTAGAGGACTGGGCAATCACTAACGATATGAAATTCAACAAGGACAGGAGCTGGATTCTGCAGCAGGGATAGGGCAACCCTGGTTGTGTGTACAGATTGATAGACTGGGGAATGAGAGGCTGGAGAGCAGAACTGTGGAAAGGGACCCGGAGGTCTGTTGATGGCAAGTTGAATATGAGTCATCAGTGCTCTGGCAGCCAGAAGAGTCAGCTGTGTCTTGGGGTGCATCAGGCCCATTGACAGCTGGTACAAGGAGGCGAGCAAGATTCATCAGTTGTGGCCAGCAGAACATCCCAGCAGCTCAACAGTGCTGGGATTTTCCTGCTCTTCAGGATCCAGTGAGGGTCACGCCATGCACAAATTCCAGGGTGGGAGCTACAGATTTCAGCACCCTGCGCAGGCAGGTCTATGGGCAAGAACTAAACCAAAGCTCCAAGTGCTGCCACGACTTCAGTGCATTAGGAAATGCCTCTTCTACAGAGTGAAATCTGTGACTCCAGCTGAGCCCAGGCCAGGCCCAGTATGCCTGAGACAGTGGCAGGCTTTGAGGTTTGAGTGGTGTAAACTGGCATCCAGGAGGGCCAACTGTATCCTGAGGGGCATCAGGCAAAGCATCACCAGTCAGTTGAGAGAGGTGATTGTCCCGCTCTGCTCTGCACTCGTGTGGCCTCACCTTGAATATTGTGTGCAGTTTTGGTTACTGCAATAGAAGAAAGATATTAAGCTGTTAGAGAGTGTCCAAAGGAGGGCAAGGAAGATGGTGGAGGGCCTTGAGGGGAAGTCCAATGAGGAGCAGCTGAGGTCACTTGGTCTGTTCAGCCTGTAGGAGATGGAGGGGAAACCTCATTGCAGCCTTCATCTCATTGCAACTTCCTTGTAAGGGGAAGCAGAGAGACAGACACTGATCCCTTCTCTCTGATGACCAGTGACAGGACCCAAGGGAATAGCATGAAGCTGTGTCAGATGTTTAGAGTGGATATTAGGAAAAGGTTTTTCACCCAGAGGGTGGTTGGGTACTGGAACGGGCTCCCCAGGAAAGTGGTCTCAGCATCAAGCCTGACAGAGTTCAAGAAGTGTTTGGACAATACTCTCGGGAACATGGTGTGACTCCTGGGGATGATCCTCTGCAGGGCTAAGAGCTGGACTTGATGGTCCTTGTGGGTCCCTTCCAAATCAGGATATTTTGTGCTTCTGTGATTCTGCTGAACTCTTAATACTGTGTGAGCTCTAAAAAACTCCAAAGCTCCCAAACATCCCCCGAGAAGAATTCAAAGCAGTCCGGTCTATAAACCCTGTCCCGTCGAGGGGCGATCCCGGGCGGCAGGCAGCGGGCGGCAGGCAGCGGCGGCAGCAGGCGGCCGGCAGGCAGCGGCGGCAAGCAGCGTGCGGCAGGCAGCGGCGGCAGGAAGCGGCGGCAGGAAGCGGCGCAGGAAGCGTGAAGCGGCGGCAGGCAGCGCGGCAGGAAGCGCGGCAGAAGCGGCGGCAGGAAAGCGGCGGCAGGAAGCGGAAGCGGGCGCAGGAAAGCGGCGGCAGGAAGCGCGGCAGGATAGCGGAAGCGGCGGCAGGCCGCGGCCAGGGGGTCCATGCCCACGCTGCCCCGCGCCGGCCGGCCGCGGGCCTGCTCCCGCGCTTGCGCGGGCTCCGGGGGCGCGCCCCCCGCTGGCTGCGGCCGCGCCTCCCGCGGCGGGAGTGGGAGAGCGGCGGTGCCTGACGCGCTTGTGTCCCGGCCGTAAGGCGGGAGCGTCGGCCGTGGGAGGCGAGGGAGGTCTGACGCGAGGGAGCGGGTCTGCGAGCGGGACCCGGCGGAATGGCAAGGGGAGCCGCGGCGGGATGGCAGGGGAGCCCGGCGGGATGGCAGGGGTTCCCGGCGAGCTCAGCCTCATGGATAGGGGCCTTAAGAGGTGAGTGAGGAACGGGCCGGAGGGTGAGGGGCGGCCCGGGAGCGGAGCTGCCCGGCTGACTGAGGCCCCTCTCCTCCGCAGCCTGCTGGATGTGTCCCTGAGCTCGGACCTGCACACGCTCAACGCCCACTGCAACCGCATCGCCAGGATCGAAGGGCTCGGCCACCTCCGGAACCTGCAGCATTTGGATCTGTCCTCGAACCAGATCCGCCGGATCGAGGGGCTCAGCTCCCTGGCGAACCTGCGCACCCTGAGCTTATCCTGTAACCTGATAACCAAAGTGGAGGGTCGGCAATGTTTACTTCTGTCCATTTAGAAACTCACGAAAGTTTTCTAAGATTTGTCTTGAAGGTTGCTTCTGGAATGTTTGCATATAATGAAGGTTATGCAAAGTTAGCATGGGCTACTAACGATATTATAATGTGAATTTTAAAATGTCTATATAAAATGTGGTAAGCTGTATCATAACAAAATGCCTTAATTAGAAGGAAAACCTGATTTTTATTATTATAGTTTAATATAGTCGTAATATAATCATAGTAATAATAATTATGTGATTTCATAATTCGTAGTTATGATCTTTTAAGGCTCACTTTGCAAGCTTGGCGTTTGAAAACAGAGCATTCTTCTGCACATCTTATGGTTTCTATGTTTTTCTCATTTTACTTAGGACTGGAAAAACTCTTTAATTTAACTGTGCTGAACTTGTCATATAATCGCATACATGATCTCTCTGGTAAGTGTCTTTGCCAAGTGCAGTGCAGTACAAACCATTTATCTCACTTAAATTTTGAAGAACTTGACCAAGTGTATTTTGAGAAGTTTCTAGTACTTAAAGTGCTAATTCACCGAATAATTATATTAAGAGTGGCAATTGCTGCTCCTCTCAGGTTTCAAGTTTCTAACACTACAGATTGTTCTAAACTGGAATTTATTCTCCTGTGTTGGGCAAGGCCAAGCTTGTTCAGAAAGTAGCACAGTAAACATTTCAGACTTATTTCCAAAAATGCAACTTATGGAAGTTCTCATCTGTGTCTGTTTGTTAAAATGGTCAGTTGTTGCTTGTGAGATTTTATGCTACAGAATCAAGAGAATTTGTAATACAAAATTAAAAAGAACATTGGTAACAATTTTGTTAATGAACTGAGTTATAGAATGAAACTTCAAGGAAAATGTTTATTTTTACAGACTTTTTAACAGCCAGAAACTAATGTGTTTCTTTACAGTTAGCTCTCATAACTAGCTTAAGTGTTGTACTATGTGGTAGAGTACCACAGCTAATTAACATGTATAGGCAAGGATATGGAACAAGTGTTCTTCTGTCATTTCCAGTTATGATATATTATTTACTGAATATTTTTCAACAAGCTGCCATTTGTTCTGAACCCTGCAGTCTAGGACTGCAGCACAAAACATTTTTTTTGTGTTTTTTTTTTCTCAAATTTCCAGGATTTCGATCCCTTCACGGAACCAGATATAAGATTAGCCACATTGAGCTTCACAGCAACTGTGTAAGCAACATTATTCACTTACTTCAGTGCACAAAGGGGCTGCACTGTTTGACGAACCTCACACTGGAAAAAAACGGAAAAGCCAATCCAGTTTGTCACAAAGCAGGTATGGATCTCATGTTAGGTGGATACTCTGTGCTCATTAGGCAAGTCATTTCCTTTAAGCTGTAAGCCATGTTCTGAAGCTTGCAAATTCATTCATAAGCTGGCCAGCCTGTGAAATCTAAATTCTGTCAAAAGTAATTCATTTTCCATGAAAAAAAATCTTTCCCCCCCCCACCCCGTGTATTCTTAACATGAGGCTCAGCATTTTCACTTGTGAATCCAGAGGAGTGCCACGAAGATTAGAGGGATGGAGCACCTCTCCTGTGAGGAAAGGCTGAGAGAATAGGGATTGTTCAGCCTGAAAAAGAGAAGGATTTGAGGTGACCTAATTGTGGCCTTCAAGTACCTGAAGGGAGACAAGAAGAAAGATGGAGAGAGACTCTTTTCCATGTACTGACAGGACAAGGGGGAATGGCTTCAAAGTGAAAGAGAGTAGGTTTAGATTAGATATTAAGAAGAAATTATTTACTGTGAAAGTGATGAGACATTGGAACACGTTGCTCAGAGAAGTTGTGGATGCCTCATCCCTGGAAGTGTTCAAGGCCAGGTTGGATGGGCTTGGAGCAACCTGGTTTAGTAGAAGGTGTCCCTGCCCATGGCAGGGGGTTGGATAACTAGGTGATCTTTAAGGTCCCTTCCAACCCAAACCATTCTATGATTCTATGATATTATTTTAGGTTAAGGTTAGCATTTGTATCAAAATAGTAGGCAGGGGTTTCACATAGTAGGCAGCATGGAGACAAGTTGGAGATTGCATGTGGATATATCGCTTTCAGTTGGGTTGCTTAGAGCTTCTGCTTTGGGGGTAGGTTTTTCCTGCCATTTAAATGTTACACTCTGTTTTCAAACAAGTTAAATTGTAGCTCCTGTTGTGGTGTCGGGGGTTTTTTGTTTTCTTTCTTTGTGTATATTAGAGGGGAAAATCTATAGAAGGGAAAATATGTAGAAGCAGAGGATGGATACTTCTGGGAGAGCTCAAATATAATTTCATTACAAAGAGTAGAACAGTATGAATAATGCAATAATACAAAATATCAGCTACATAATGAGCATATAACTGATACAGGTGTAATATATGTACAGTTAGAAAGAAACCTCAAAGGTAATTGAGGAAAGCCAAATTAGGTTTTAAGTAATATTTTCAAAAGCAAATGTTTTACAAATGCATTCAGGCACTACGGAAACAGTAACAGTTAAAGTTATCTGGATAACTCAGAAGATTCCAGTAGTTTTCTTCAGCAAGTATTTATGTGACACTAACTTTAAAAACTGCACTGCTCAGAAGCCCAAATTCCATTAATTTAAAGAAAGTTAACTTCAATGCTTTACAGTTTTATAATGCCTTATTTCATTCACTGACAAAGAAGTTATCTAAGCTGTTTCAGAACTGGCCTTTCCATTACATTTGTCTGTCCTTCCATTTGATACAACTGTTTTTGTGCAGTTGTCTGATATTAAAAGGTTGTCTGTGCAACTGCAGTGTGCTGATGATGGTTGGGAAATCCCAGTGTAGGCCAGGACCAGGCAGACAGCTTCCAAGTTCATTTAGTTTTGTAATGTTATCTGTTGAATGCCATGGATGGGGAAAGATGAGACAATTGTAGATAACTCGCTACTTTTTTTCTTGTATTAAAAATGCAGTGAATCATTTAAGATGACAGGGTAGCTGAAATACACTAGACATCTTGGGAGATTGATTTCAATTTACATGTGGTCTTTTCCTCAAGGTTATAGAGAAACTGTTCTTCAGTCGTTGCCCCAGCTAACAGCTCTAGATGGAAGAGGTATTTCTGGTGAACCAGTGGACCTGGAAGAAAAAAACTGTTCAGATTTGCAGTTCTTAGAAGACGTTTTGGGCTCTTTGGTTTCATCTGGGTGCCCCTCACCCAGAGATCAGGTGCCATAGTTTGTGTGTACTGATTTTAATAATGATATGCTTAATTTTTATATTGCATGCCGCTCATTAATGCTGCAAGGGTTGTCTTTCCTTCTGATAGAACATTGTTGCCTTACCGCTGGCGACACCTCATATCGACCAGGCATTGGCTCATTTTCGTCAGCGTACAAGAATACCAGTACAAGGTGCCACCAGCTCCTCCACAGAGCTTGTCTCATCTTCAGAACCAGAGAAGACTGAACTTGATAAAATACACAGTGAGATGAGGATTAAAAGAATAGAAGATCTGATTTCACAGATACTGCAAAAGGTGATTTTTTTTTCTGTGATCACACAGGAAGTTTTGTTTGTAAAATCAGGTGTACATTTCTGATAATGCAAAAGTTTTCTGGAACAGACTGGAGCATTTCTACTGGTGTTTATGAGCTTACGATGCTAAGGTGTTCTTAATCATTTTGAGAAGCTGGGAATAAAATAAAAACAAATCTTTAAAACTGAAGATTGCACTTCGAATCCTGACAGCTTTCATACTGAATAAAAAACCATAGTGCATGGGACTAGCAGAGCTATGTGATCATGTTATGTTAGAAAATTCTTGTCTGGTTTTTTTACCCTGAAGCCATCAATATAGTAACTGAACCAAAGTAAAACATGAAATGCACCAAAACACCTGGATTATACAGTTGGTGAAAATTAATTTTACCAATAAGTCAACTTGATTTGTTTGTCAGGTAACATAGTTTGTTTTGTTAATATGTTTTGTTAGCATAGGTAACATACAGGTTTGTCAGGTTTAACAGTTGGTGGTGTTTGCAAGGCTTTTTTGGTTTTAAGTGCTGTATTTGTTTTACATTTTGCACCAACCTCTTAGACCTAAGGATTTTACCAAACTTCAGGAATTTCAAAAAGATATACCTATATATTCTCAAGCATGTTGGGTTTATTTTATCTTTAAAACAATGAAATATTTTAGGAAGGAGGGAAGGGATTGTAAAAGTAAAAAATTGGAAGCAATTATTTACTTTCCTATCAAAATTATTTTGTGTGAAGTTTTTTAAGAATAGCACCTGAATAAGTGTTAGAAATTAGCCAATTAGAAATGGTAAAATTTATAGATAAAATTTTGATCTCTTCCTAGGTATCTGATAGCTCAAGACAGGAAGCTCCTCCAAGTTGTCTCAAAGCTAAGAGAGACACAGATCCAACTTCTGAGAGTGAAAATGAGAGTGGGAAAGAGAACAACAGAAAGGTCACGAAAAGAAGCAAGATCCCTCCTCACAGGAGAACTACCTTATCTCCTAAGTGTCATGCGAGTCATCTTAAGAACAAAGTAACCAACAGGTATCCTGATGTTTGCCATATAAAGCCAAAATGAATTAAGCTGAATATTGTCACAATGAACATAGTACTTGAAACATTTTTCTGAAAGTGGTAGGTTGGGTCAATTAGCTCTGTTAATGATACCTTGAAAATGAGTAGCTTCTGAGGCTTCTTTCTGCCACTTCTCTATATGAGCAGTTTCTGCCTTTAAGTGAGAACAAAATTGAACTGAAGATTCCAAAACAAACACTTTCAGAATTCTGACAGCTTATACTTCCATCTTTGTTTTAAATTGTGGTGACAGAAAAATTCTCCACAGACAGAACTGAGTCATTAAAAAATAAAAATAAAAGATTCATGCTGTCTGAACAATGATCAATAATTTAACTGTCCATATTTTGTGATGAAGCTGAGGATGCCATAGTGATTTGTTTGATTTATCAGGAGTGATGAGTAGAAGATGATACAAATTGGAATATTTTAGCATAGTTAGCCACTGCAGCTCTACAGCTACTCTGCTTCTCCAGAATTGTTTGATATCTGTGTGATCATAAGATGTCTTTCAGATACATATAACTAGTTTATGCTATCTTTTCGCAGCTGACTATTTGAATTTAGCTGTTTCTGCTATGGTCTCCTTGCAAATTATTTTCTGTGTGCTTTTGAACTGTATTATTCAAATGTTGCAGAGAACTGTAAAATTTCATCCTGTAAAAGTGTCTGAATCCCTTGTTACTGTTTAAACTCTTAAATATACCTTGATGTCCTGCAAATATAGGGAAGAGAAGAAGAGTTCCTCAAAGTGTTCATACTCCAGTCAGAGAGACTCTCATCTTAATTCATCATCAGATAATCAAGACTTGAAAGTAGTAGGAAGAAAAGCTGAAATACTGACTGGTAGACAGAGCAATATAGAAAAACTAGAAGAAAGTCATTCAAATCCCACAGAGGAATCAACATACCAAGTAGGTTTTGCATCATTTCATATTAAGTATGAGTATGTCTTCACCTGAAGCCAAGCATGTCTCCTGGTCAAACTAAAAGTGGAGGTGACAAAAAAAATTGCATGTAGGTAGTATCAAAAGTAGTGTTGTTCTTGTAGTGTCAACTGGGAGAGGCTTTATTTTGTTTCACTTTTATGGGAGTTTTTGGCCTGGTCGCTTGCCCTTTGCTCTGTCACTCATGAATTCCAGAAAGACAAAAAGTCTTATTCTACACTTATAAATATTATTTGTCATTTTTGGCTATGCTTGAACGTCTACTAGTAATTTGATGCTTACCACATTCTTGCGAAGGTGCTGATTCAAGAACTGGATCAGGAGAAAGAAAGGAGGTGGAAAGCAGAGCAAGCAGAGAAGAAATTATTAGAGCATGTCAGAGAGCTACAGAAGCATTCAAAAGAAGAAAAGAATATTCAGAGTATGGCTGTATACACTACAGACAGGTAGGGAAACAGTGCTGTAATATAAGAGTTTTGTTTTGGGTTTTGTAATTAATGAAAATTCAATTTGTAGCCTTAAGAAATGAGAACAGCTTTAAACAATATACTTGGAAAATAACACAGTAGTGTTATTCACAGTAGTGCTAGAATTTCTCTCAGTTTTACCTAATGAAATTCCTTTCTGTAGCTTTCTTCCTGTTCTAATCTTAGAACAATATCAGTGTGTTGCTTACCTCCATTTCCAGCCATTACTTTCCAACTGTATCATAACGGTACATTCAGTTCAAGCTCTAGTAGCTGCCTCATATCATGCTTTCACCTTCTGTTTCCCAGTCTCTCTTTCCACCTATACCTACAGCATTCCTTGTGTTTTTCCTGCTCAGTGCACTGGAACAAAGGTGTTTCTGGCCGGCCAGAGTTGGCCTGTAGGCAATATGTTGTGCAGGGCAGGCCTAGCAGCACATCTTTGGATAGTTGTCATCATTGGTTGTCATCATTCTTGTATAAGTTCTGAGCAGCAGCTTTTTTTCAAAAGGTCTCTCTTCTAACAAAGCATTGTTTGTCATCAGATATTTTTGGAGTTGTCAAAGACGCATTTTCTTTTTTGTAAGGAAGAAACAAGTCAGGTGCTTCCATGAGTGACTGTGATTATTTCCCTTTTTTCCTGTTTGTTTTAAGTTCACTTCCCACCTTTAATTGTATTAGAAGCTTATGTTCCTTTTCTGTTGAGATAGATCTTATATAAAAATTGTTAAAATATTTAAGGATGTTTCAGCACTTAGTGAAGGTAATTATTAAATTACAAATTGATGCTATATGTTCAACCTGTGTGTAAGCAAAATGATACTGGAATATCATTTCCTAAGAATCTATCTGTGAGGTTCTCTCCAGCTCAGGCTTTTTAAAATGAAGCTCTACATAGTAATGTTACACATGACTTCAGTAATAGTTTACATCTTTTTGAAGTTTTACATGACAGTGCTGGAAGTAGTAAAACTCAGTAAAGAACAAGATATGGTGTTACAACAGTTACTAATGTTTTTTCTCAATGTACTTGGCATCAAGCTAAAGACTAAAATGTTTGTAATACAACTTTATGGCATTTATTTTCAGGCTAAAGGAATTGATATTGAAAGAGAGAGATGACAAAGCAAGACTGCAAGCAGATGTCCAACAGCTGAAAGGTGAAACTGAAAGACTTACTAATGAGTTAAATCAGGCAAGAAATAAAGAAGCAGAACATCAGAAGGCCATGCAAGCTTTAGAAGAAACACTATCCAAGCTGGAGACACAGAGATTGCAGCAACGAGCAATAGAGGTAAATATTTTTCATGAGTAAATAACACAATGGCAATGGGGTGGCTGCTATAGTCCTAGATACAAAGAAACACTAGATTTTACAAGCTTTAAGTCTGAGTTTTCCACAATAATAGTAGTAATAACAGGTATCAATTTTAATTGTCAATTAATGTATTTTATAAATGGAAGTATGTCATGTGATGTGGCCTTAAGATAAAGGAGAACAAGTCCTATGTACTTAAAGAGTTGATATTTTCTAATAATATACAGTAACAAAACCAAGTTTTCTAAAAAATCGGTAAAGATCTTACTAGTCCGATGGAAACTTGGTGATTCTGTTTGTTTTGCTGATCTAAAGAATTAGATGCTTTTAATTGCAACCAGAACAAAACAGTAATTGCTGAGAACTTACTTTAAAGATTCTGGTTGTTTTGAGTGGGTTTTTTTTTGTTTTGTTGTTCGGGATTTTTGGTGAATATTTTTACAGCTGGAGAAGATAATGATGCTTTTGTTGTTGGAGGCACTTTTTTCAGTATACAAATGCATAAGATCAAGTTGCTGGACCAGATACTGCCACTATTTCTGTCTAAAAAGTCAATGGCTGAATTTTCAGTGTCCTCCAATATCTACACCTTTTGTTTATATTCCTATATTAGCCTGTTCCCGTGTCACTGAACTTACAGAAATTGAATCCTAACATATGCATCCTGAAAAGTCTCTCAACTTACAGTGCAGTGCTGTAGGGGGTGGTGTTAGTCAGATACCCTGAAAGGAATGAGACTCAGGGCACTCCTGCAAGTGCCATTCAAGTCACCCTCTAATTTAGGCTGCTGTTTGGGCATCTGAGTGG